CTATTCGTTGTCCGTGTACCTAAAAGGAAGAGTTGGTGCAGTGTGGAAGTCTGAGGGCCTTCAGCATTGCTTTCAAACCACGGGATTTGACTTCCAAGATTGAGGAAGCCACCAGGAATTTCAGCATTGTCTCGAGTGGCCCGCATTTGGTGGAGCAGAGCCACCCATACTTCAGGGCCACGAAAAAGCCTTCAGAGAATCTTCATGACAGCATGGAGCTGCGCGACAAGATGGAATCTGGTGGCGACAAATTCGACTATGAGAGATCAGCTGCCATGGACACGGCTCAGACATGTTGTGGGCATGAACAGTTTGAGAATGTTTGAGATGCTTCAAGAAGACCAATTGTTTGTGCAGTTTTTGTCATCTCATCTCACGCTTCTTGTCCAAAGTAAAGAAGGCTGCTGATAGCCCCACCCTCATTCATTTGATGTTCCTCTACACGATTATTGAGGTTCAAGCGGTTCCAGTGAGTGACGACTGAGTCAAAAGCACTCGCACTCTCAAGTCTTAGATATGACTCTAGCTCATCTTAAGCTATAGAGTGTTATACAGTTAATATACACTTGTACGCCCACCCAGTCCAGAACTGCCATCCCATATTTGGGATCACATATTGGGGTCCTGAACCTACCTGAATTCGTGAAGACTGGAATCCCTGGGTGAAGGGACCTTCAAATCATTTCAACTCTGGGTCATGGCACCCGTTTCGAACTCATCCTATATACCGTTGACCTCCATTCTGGGTCGTCCATTCGGGACAGGCGCATCGCCATCTACCGCTTTGCGCCGGCCACGGTGGCTTATGGCCGCAGCTATGTGCGGTTCACCCAGAGCAGCGGGAGCACGGTGTGCAACGTGTCGGGGAGATCGAAGGGTTGGTGGGTTGAACATGCTGCTCATTAAAAGAAGAACACACAAACAAACAGCTGCTGATATGGCTGCTGCGTTTGTTCTATAAAATATATACAGCAAGCTGCTAAGCACCCTGTCGCAGCTTCTTTGTTTCATGGCACCACCAGGACACCGGGAGCCAAAAGGTAAAATTGTCTTCGAAAAGGCTGGGGAGCCAAGTTGTGTTGTTTTTGATGTTGTTTGTTTTCATGGAAAAGCTTGTCTGTGAGCTTAGCTGTTTGCATGTTATATGTACAATAGTATGTACAATATGTTTAATGTACTTGCAATCTCATGGTTGCTTTTTTGGGGGTCGGTAGTTCAACATACCGTTATTTATGCAGAAAAGTACTGGACGCTGTAATAGTATGTTGTAGTAGAAACGGCCCCGCTGCTCGCAAGCGCTTTGGACATCTCATTCCGTCATCGTGGACATCTTCGAGTTGGAGCACCTCCATCATCAGGGTCTGTACACCCTTCCCTGATGTCACTCATCAGGGCCACCCTTCGAGCGAGCTGGCTTGTCCACGGATTCCTCGGTGGCCTGGCCCTAAGGGTCCAGGATCATCCGAATCGGATGTCCTGCCAGACCCCCCGAAGTACGTACGCACCTCCAAGACCATCCTCAGGAGGTACCTGGACCCTATGGGTGGTGGATCTGGCAGTTAGAAGATTGAAGAGGTATCATGGCGCTTGGCAGATCCCCGCTGCAGGTGACAGCTGAAGACGAAACAGGTTCTGGAAAACTAGGGCACCGTGCTCAAATCTGGGCCAATTGGTGTTGGTTCTTTGCGTCTTAACCTGCAGCCTTAGGCTTTGTATTGCATCGCCTCTACATGAAGGCCCAGCACCTTTTGGTTGGGATTGGAATGGATTGGATGCATCAGGCAGTTCGTCAAGCAAGAGTCTTGAGGAAATGGTGACTTCGGGAAGAAAAGATCTGCGTAAGTGCAACCACACTACAAGCTGACAGCGCAACATGTTTGGAGCTCAGCAGAGCACCAAATAGCGTGGTGCCGCCTCACATCTGATATAAATACGATGGTTGCCTACGATGCCTGCAGACCAGGATGACTTACGATCAAAGACTGGTTGATGATTTCAAGAGTTTGGTCCAAACACCTGTAATTACCTGTTTGGTTACGCCAATGGCATGTGCCTGAGATGATTCATTCCAATGGCATGTGGTTTTGTGATGGGTTGAAAGGCTAACACTTCAGTTCAGGTGCTCGGGTGGCTATCCCGAAAAGAGAGTATATGATTGCTCGCTGTGCATCCAAAAGTTTGGGACCTTGTTCATTTTGCCTTGGATTGTAACATGAAAGGTCTACTCCAAACAGGCAGGGTCTTCTTTTGTAGAGATGGTTACACTCAGGCCGTGGGGTAGAAAACTGTAGAGATGTTTAGCAAGACTGGTTGCCCGGCTTGGTCAACGCCTGGGTCGTTCCGCACCCTCTGAGTCGCCGCAGTGGCCGCAGGCGGGTGGGTCGGTTTACCGGATTGAAGCGACGCTTGGGGACAAGGAAGACATTCTCTTCCCACGTCTATGCCCACCCAGTAAACTTGAATTGGTATTTTGTTGTTTGGCCAGGCTTCTGAATTTTGAGGTGGTGTTCTATACCAAAACTAAATGTTTGCCCAGGACTGAGGGTCACTTCTGTTTTCCGGATTAGATAATCCTTCTATTTTGAGTTTTGAGATTCCCGAAGGTTTGTTTGGGCCTTTTAGGATGTGGCCAAGTTTGATTGTCATTTTCTGTTAGCCCTGCTTACAGCCAAGCTTCGAAACTGCTTGCTGAAAGACATGGTGACATAATCATCTTGATCAAGTTGTGCGTTTGGATTGCCAACACAGTAGTTCGGATCCCTATCAATTTACGTCCATCTTCGCTATACTCAAAACCCCGCAAAGTAGTTGACTGGATAATGCTCACCACTTCCATTTATGGTGATTATCCATAGTTATTTTTAGCCAAAGCAGGGTGAGCGAGATCCAGTTGTTCTGTAAATGTGAGGATTCTGAAGCGCACTGCTCATAAAATATTCTTTGAATTAGTAGCACACCTTTTTCACCAAGGTTGGAACTATACCACAGGGCCACAAACAACGAAGTGTCCATTCTCCACGTTTCAAGTATTGTTGTTATTCCTGGCGGTGAAGCTATAGGTTGTTTTACGGTCTTACATCATATCATCTCCACGAGTTGGGTGTTTGCTTTTGCAGGGTGTTTTGCCTCAGAAGTCTCAGAATTGAAGTCTTTCAATGCACGCATCTGTGCGTCAAGTATGTAGAGCTATGTAGAGCTCCTGGAGTGCATCTGAATCAGAGGCGTTGGAGGTCAACGACCTGGCGATTCGAGGATCTGTTGTCCTGGCAATAGCCCCCAAAACAAGGTGAAGCTTCCAAGATGTTGTTCAATCATGTTCAATCGAACTCCGAACATATATATATATATAAATGATTTTCCAAGGCTTCTCGCCATAAAGAAGACGGGTCACTTTCTTCATTCAGCCTCCGCACCAGCCACCGCAGCACCAGAACACCGCGCTTCTTGCGTACTGGAACCGCCCCAGGAGATGCTGGAGGACCTGACAACGGCCCAACGTGCCGTCCTGGAACCGCCCTATGCAGGAACGGAAACCGGACGGAACCGGACGAAGTGGACCGAGCCCAGGCCACTCTTTCGGGACAGTTTTTGGGTCGCCAGTGTTTGAGGTATTTTTTTGGAGGGTTTGTTGGGATCCAATAGGTCAGAATGAAGAGGTCGTGTGTGAAAACAGCTGCAGCTTCAGCTTCACCCAACCTGTTTCTATGCCTTTTCGTTGAAGACTGGCGCTGGTATGTAGATGAACAGAGGCAAACATTTGGACACTTGACTTACACTCTCTGAACGAATCATGGAAGTGGATGGCACCACCTGTCTATAGAGGAAAATGGTCATCCAAGGTACCATCCACTTCCATGATCTATTTCTGGGAGTGTAACTTCATGCTTTGGGTTCATCAAGGCTCAGAACAGAGCCTTGCGCGAGGCATGGTTTCCGCACCCAAAAATGGATGGACAGGGGTCGACCTTTTGTTCTGTTAAACAAGTGAAGTGGTGTAGGCCGTTAAAGCTTGCAGGGCACAATCCGCCGGCTTGGCAATTGTCCACCAACCGGTGTTTCGGGTACTCGTTCGTGAGTCATCTTTAGTCTCTCGATGTACACCCTGCAAGCAGGGGGTGGGTGTTTTACTGTACCATGTTTTACCCATCTCTGTTTGGCAGGCCTGTGTAGCAAGCATGTTCCCATGACCTCAAGGGACGCCATCACCAGTGCCCGGTGGCGTCGATCGGTGAGGGCGGCCGAATGGGCCGAGTTCGGACGAAGTAGACCGTGCCGAGCACGAGAGGTGGAGACTCATCCATGGTATTAAATTACATAGTATTATTTCATTAATTATCCAATGTTGTCTATGTATTAAATATACAAGCAGTGAAGCCCTGGGGCTTTCACCAGCGTTCTTCCACTGTTCAGCCACACTGTCACATATAGGTGTTTCGATGTTCACCTATGCCTGGCCTGCATTCCGAGTGGGGGCAAACATATGAGGACAGGGTCAAATCATATATGGTTTTGGTTTGCCTTCCCCCCCCTCCGGTCCTTGGTTGGTTCAGAATGGAACCAGGAAGGGGGCTGTCTCCTTTGACCATCTTGTTATTTCAGCTCCAAGGTGAATCGTGCCTTCCGATGTGCTGCAAGACATGGCTCAACACTGACCAACAATTCAAGAATGGAGATGATTTAAAAAACATTTGCATACCATTACATACCCTGCCCTTTTCGCCAGTCAGTGGCTAGCCCTTCACCCTTTTTGGAGGTAGCAAGCATGATTCCAGCTTTTGGGGAAGGACTTTGCAGGATCCGCGGGTGCCCACTTCGACCCTTCCCACCCTGCAGGGATCACAGTGGGCCAGTAGGACCCCATCAAAGCGACCATTCGATCCGTTCGGTGTGTTTGGTCTTTTTCACAGAACAACAGATCTTTGGGCATTTGTGGATCACTTGAACAAGGACGAAACATCATTTCAGCACTTTGAGCTATCTCAGCGAACGAAACCTGAGGCGAACGGTCCAAGGAAAGCTGGTTTGACTGTGACCATGAAGTGTTGAGCCATGGAGCGGTCGAAGCCCTTCAACAAGTGCTCCAGTCACTAGGAGGAAGATGGAGAGACCTGAGAGTGGATGTGTGTGGACGATTTTTGGGGGTGTGGAGTGTGGTGCTTTCGCGATGTTTTACTCAATGTTCTGTTCTTAAGCAAGTTGTGGGTGTTTCGTTTTCACATGTAGATAGTGGTGTCCCTTTCTCTCGGAGACAGTTGACCCAAAACAGGCCTGACAAGGAGTTGCATTGCCTACATGCCTCCCTTAAGAGTCATCCTGAGGGGTAACAAAAGGGTTCCCTGCTCAGTCGTGTTCGTTCGGTTTGGGACCTGTTCATTGTCCAGTGAGGTCTCAGCTTGTCCACCAGGTTCTTATAATCTCTTAGGCCGATGGAAGCATCGTCCGTGTTTCACCGATGTGTTCATCCCCGGTGGTACCGACCCGACGAGTTTCGCGACGACCGAGTCGGTCTGGAAACCGACCGAAAACACCCTTCGCTTGGGCTCGGGCGACAGTGGAGAGGCGAGACGTACGGAGTTCGGAACGCCCAATGGTCGGCTTCCTATTTTAAATTCTTGGCTTTAAGACGCTCATTTGATCCCACTGGACACGTCCGGATCTTTGAACGTGGGTAGCCACGCACCTGGAGCCAGGTGAAAAATACGCCGGCATATAGGGGTAGTGGACCCTCCGAGTGGTCTATTCAAGATTTTCCGTGGTCAACCAGGGTCCCCAGGTTTTCACCCATCCCCATGTGTGAAGTCTGGTTTTTCATGTTGGCCATCTTGGCCGTTGTCAATTCCACTCAGAGCTGTTTTGAGGTGGCGTTTTATGGCTCGAGGCATGTGCGAACAAGGGCCTACAGGGGATTCGGGGCAGAGAACGGGGCATTCGACTGACCCTGCGCAGACCCCCATGGGCCCCATGAGTTGGTTGGTTTCAGGGTGGTTTCACGGGTAACGGAGGTAAATACAGCTAATACAAATTACAATCCCAGGAAAAGAAACGGAAGTGGACAGCTGGACAACCCCCTGTTTTCAGACGAACATGGTTTTTGGAGGGGCCACTGGGTACACAGTTATATAAAGTTCTTGGTGCTATTTTTGACGAGTTAGGTTTTTGCCCAAAGAACTCACTTGGTAGGGAATCAGCTGATCTTGAACATGTTTCTGTTTGTATTAGGATAGATGTACAAACTAGCTTAGTTTTGGTTCAGTTCTTGGTTCAGATCTTGGTCAGTTTTCAGCCAGAGAAGTCCGCAAATCCAAGCTGTGAACATGTCAAGGTCCTTGTCGTCGCGCGGTTAGAAAAGCGGGTTTTGCAGATCAGGTGATCTTTATTTTTCCACCGAAGTGGGTGAATCCCCTAACCTGAGTGTGTCTTATGCCCGGTTCCTGGACCAACATGGTCTTAAATCCACGTCAACCCCGAAGCAAGTTAGTTGTAGGATGTTGTAGGCCTTTTGTGGGGAGACTCTTTTGAAAAATACATGACACAACGACAACTTGGAGTCTCTCTTGTAAGCCACAAACTTGGATCCTCGTTCCTAGCTAAAGATGACTCCAGGGCAAACAGCACATGGGGATCGGGACCCAAAATCAATCGAGAGAGGGGACCATGCAAAAAAACAGCAAGCTGCACAAAGAAAACCAATAACATATCTAAAAGCAGGTAGCGAGGGATGTGTGAAATCGCAACTACACAACAGTCATTTTGACCACATCCTGAGTTAGGCATGAATGAGCCTTGGCGAGATCGAGCCATTCATTAAACATAAAGAACAACATGACACCACCGTAGACCCCAAGCAGTCTGTGTTTTTCAATATCGGAACACTCTGCAACTAGAGCTTGCGACGTCCAGAGCTGGGAGACAAAGGATTGCAAGGCAGAGGCAGACACAGCAGCCCAGAGCTGGGAGACAAGTGTAGACAAAGCGAGACAAAAGTAAATGATTGCAAACGACATGCAGCCCAGAGCTGGGAGACAAATGAAGGATTGCAAGGCAGAGGCGGATACAGCAGTCTAGAGCTGGGAGACAAATGTCAAGGATTGCAAGCGAGAGGCGGACACAGCAGTCCGGAGCTGGGAGACATGTAAGGGACTGCAACACAGCAGTCCAGAGCTGGGAGAC